CAAGCTCATGGAGGATCCAAAATATTTTAAGGTAATCCCAGCAGGCTCCTATACGTGACTAGAGGAAAATATCAGACAAACTTCAATCCAACTCGGTAGAACCGAAGCATCTGAGCATGATCCTAGCAGTCCTTCACGCCTGACTAGAGAGATACGTCAAATAGACTTCAATAAATAGTTCTCAAGACTTGAAGCATCCAAAGGAAATACAAAGAGCCACCAAACTCAATGAAGACACATCGGTCATACCCCGACAAATCAAAGAAAACCATCATATAGTCATGTTTTCTACCTCAAAAAGGGCTTACAAACTTATGAGACTTGCCATAGTCCTGCTTTACATCATGAGGTCCAACAAAGCAGCAACATTTCAGCCCAACAGCTTGAGCTCTTAGATTGCTGGATTGGAGGGCAATAGGACCCACTGAATGGGCCTTTAGCTTCTAAAAAGCAGCACCAAATATAAGTGGTAAGCTAAAAAGACAAGGATAGATTTTGGCGTTATAAGCCAGATTGCAATCCAAGACCTCGACTAATAAGCTAAGTTCATTTGCGGAAGGCCCACAGAAGCAAATGTCGGCCAAGCAAAGTAACCCACATTCTGGACTACGAGTCCAAACCTCAAAAATGCCCTTGTAAAGGTACAAAGAAGAGTCGAGGCAAGAAAATTTGAGCTCAAATAAAGAAAGAATCGCCTCTCCAAACTGAAGACTATGGCAGATGAAGCCAAGTCAAAATAATAGTCGAGGCAAGAAAAGTTGGGCTCAAATAAAAGAAGGAAAAATCATCTCTGTAAACTTGAGACTATGACAAAAGAAGCCAAAGTCAAAATAAAAGTCATGGCAAGCTAAGTCGAGATGCTCACCATAAAGCGCAACGGCAAGTTAGTCCAAAATGCTAAATACAGCATCCTCAAGATGCCAAATCAGCTCCACACGACCCACCAAATCAAAATATATAGCAAGAAATTAGAAAGTTATCTGTCAAGACCTCGGGAAAGAAGCCGGGTCTAGCCAACGAAGGCTCGCGGTGACGTGTGCTGGCCAAACAACCCAATCTAAGATCTGGGCCACGAGTCCGGACTCCACAAGTTCCCCTAGAGGTACAAACAATGGGCAAATGCAAAATTACCGCCCCCGCAGATACTATATGCCACAACATTACAAGTCGGGCCCAAATAACAAACGGAAAAAGGGAAAAAAGGCAATGCACTGAGTTCAAATCTCTAAGGCACCCAAGAAAGCAGCACAAAATAAAGCCTTAACAGGACAAGCTAGGTTCACACAATATAAAGCCTCGACAACACAAGTCGATCTAAAGCAACTTGAACAAAAAGAATGGCAAGATGCATCATAAGAGCATAATAAAAGTTGAAATTGAAATGCCATAAAGGCTGGGAACAAACTCGACAATGTACTTTACCACACAAAAAGGCATAACCGCCAGAAAGAACGTGAAAGACCAAAAGGCCAACACCCCGGTTAGCCTAAACAAGGCAGCACAGACAAGGCACTCTACAGAAAGACCAGCTACTCCAGATCTAAGCTTCGACCTAGAAAGGCAAAATAGGAGAAGTATTAGCAAAATTCCAAGTAACCCGACACATAGGATCAAGTTCTGACATAGAACTCTGATCTCGCTGCACTGATAAGTCACAAAAGAAAGGCATGCAAGGCGACCCAAGAACACCCAATAAACGTCAGCTAGGGATGAACCCAGACTTGGATGAGGTGCAAGAAAAATTATATAATCTGGCTATATAACTAGATGGGATCCTCATAATGAATGGACCCAAGTGTGGCCGTGGTGTAAGAAAAATATTACAGCCTGGACACTCAAATTGTCAGACTGGGGGGCAACTATTCTGGACCCATTCCATGGGCCCATATCTTAACAACATAACAATAAGTGATAGACTGAAGAGATAAGGATAATCTCATCGTCTTATTATCAAAGGATAAAGGATAAACTACTTATCCTCTCTCCTAACAATCACAACCCTATCAAGACTCTACACCTCCAAGTAACCCCTTCTGAAATGATAAACTACTTATCCTCTCTCCTAACAATCACAACCCTATCAAGACTCTACACCTCCAAGTAACCCCTTTTGAAAGGATAAACTACTTATCCTGCTCTCTTGCCTATCATTGTATATACACCTCACGCCTTTGGCTATATGTCAGTATTATTATTGTGCACAATGATCTGTTACCCATTATGGTGTCTCTTCCATAGACTCCCGTGAGCGTATCGATCCAAGATACAAATACCAACCATCGGTTTGACATGTTCAATTCTCCAGGATCGAACACATGTATAATAAAGGCTTTTGCTATAGTTGAATCCCCTTGTAACAATGATCTTATGAAACCCTTTTAGGTCCAGGTTCTTACCTTCATAACCACATCGTTTTATCTACATTTTCTTTCCTAACATTTCTCCAAGTTTTGAGCAATTATGATCCAATTTGGTTCCATCATTAAATATTATTGCCTATCTTTCCAATAACCATATAACCAAGTATAATTAATTTTGAATTATATATTTGGTAATTACTTAAATTTTGAAAAAAATTGTTCTTAATTTATTCTTTTGTTAAAATGTTTTTAAAAACTTGTACGAAGTTACTTTTGAACTAACTAAATTATAAGTTAGAGAAAGATTTATAACTATAAAAGGGCTTTGTGTCTCGTCTCTCCTTTAACAGGAGAGACAAAAGTTTCCTGCATACACGTTTTAAAAGTGAGCTCCATTATTTAAAAAAAAAAAAGAAAAAAAAAAGAAAAAGTTTGTGTCATTTTAAAGAATGTAAAGTTATGTCATTTTAAGAGAGAGAAAGAGATAGATAAAGGAAGAGAGAGAGTTGACAAAAAAATAAAGGTAGGAGTCCTACCTCTTTGTGAGAGTGAAATGATATAAGTTGTGTCATTTAAAAAGATAAACATTTTTCTCAAAAAAAATTCTAGCACAAAAATCGATATATGGGTATCAGGAGAAATACTTTATTCGATAAGAGAAAAAAGTATTTTCTCCATTATAAAAATTATAAAATTCAATTTCTTGTTTCTTTCTGTTTCCAACTGTACACGCAATTCAAAAATAAGGTGACCTAAATCGTGAACTTGCTCGAGTAAAATCTAAATTCACCAAATAAGGAAAATTGCCTTAATTATGCTCTACGCCTCTACCAAAAAGTAAAGCTAAATCAATTTCAACAACTATTAATTTTTGTGTGTCAATGATCTCAATTTGCCTATCCTCTTAAATGCATTTGGATAGACATAATAGATTGGTGAAGAAAATAGATACCAAAATAATTCCTGTAACATAAACTCAACATCGTTATGTAAGTTTCTGACCTCTTGCCATGTGGATTGACCTTAGGAACTTTTGCATCACTTGTTGTATAATCTAGTTCAACTCAAATAACCAAATTGTCGGATAAAATGACCTATAATTGAAGGGTTATATTTTTCTGCAGCAGTAGGAAAGATTTTTTTCTCTTATCATAGATACGGAAATATTATGGAAAAGAGAAGAAAAAATGGAATGGGTCTCACATTTTTGAGTCAGTAGAAAAAATCGATTACCTCCTATAACATGAGACTATTATTTCCCATAATTGAATTGTAATGCAACAAAATAGGAAAATAAAGAATATATAGCTCAAACAAATACCATTTCCCTCAATCCAGGTTGGAAAAGTCAAATTTCAGCCTACAGAGAAAACTAAGGGTTTTCACTCCATTTTATATGTACAGCAAAGCAGAAAGAACTACTCAAAATATTCAGTTCAAAGAATATGACTCATGCTTTGCATTCAAATAACAATTTTTGTTGGCAGGACATTAACGATGGTATTGTTGTAGACCTAAGGTGTATTTTATTATATTTCTCTCTCTAATAATTTGAGCTTAGACTCATAAATAGTTATTATTGCATAAGGTTTCTAAGTTTATTTATATTCCCTTTATAAAGAAACAATGTTGGACGTATCCCACATTAGGTAAATCAAGATAAATCGTCATCTCCTTTCTTCTTCCCTTTTTTTTTTTATTTTGCAATTGTGTATGTACGATTGTTCGATCTCAACAATATTAAATCAAATACAACTGATCAAGTTAGCTTTTCTCAAACAAACAACGAAAAACCAATTAATCATGATCTTGAACAGTGTAAAGTACGACCCCTTCTACATATTATACTCACTGGGAATCAAGTAGTAGCACATTAACCTTCACGAATAGTCAATAGTCAATACCAAAAATATTACATGCAAAAAAGTTCTACATTTACCGAAAGAATATCATATATGACTATATGAGGATCAGCATTTGAGCAATTGTAAATCTAGAACGAATACACTAGCTAGGTAAATACTCCACCACCTGATAGTCTTGTATCATTTCAGTATTAAGGAAGACAAGAATAGACCAATATTTATTAAGTTTTTGAAAATGGGAACCCTATAAGAAAAGTCCACTTCAGAAATATACACAACCAAAATTACTCAAAACCTCTATTTGGAATTGAGTTTTCCATGCTTACACCACGGCAAATGATGTTAAAACATTGGGGATTACTTCTCTCATGTAGTATGAGAGAAGTTTTCTTATGTTATGAGACAACTAAAGTGGGCCTCACCAACTTTTAGAAAAAAGAAAAAAGAGAGGCACATTTTTCGAAGAGAGAGTGACATGAGAGATCCATCTTATGCAACATAAGAGTATGATTTCTCTAAAACATTAGTCCCTGGAAGAAACATACTTACCAATCAGTCATCAAATAAAATAAATTCACTCAATTTGCATCTCCAAGAATACTTAAAACTCCAACCATCATTAAGAACTGGTATCACGCCACTAACAGTTATGGAATGCCAAACAAGTAGAATAACCAGGTTTTATAACAAAAGGACAAAGGCAATGGCAGTAACATATGTAATCTACAAAGAGTTGATAAATTCTATTCACAAAACGATGTTATGTAAATTCTAATCATGAATTTCATATCAAAAGTGCATATGGTTCTGTCTATTTTAAACTAATATAATAAATTTGATTCAACTAAACAACCCAATGTATTCTTATAATACAACAACATTTAACACACAACAAAATCTTGCAGACTTGTCACCTGAATCCATTTCAATAAATTGCTCCATTCTCGCTCTATCTTTTCCATTAGAAACAGATTCTGGAGACTTATCTAGTTGCTTCCCTTTATAAGTACCTATAAATCAATTAATTACCAAGACAAGTGCGGCCTCTACTACACTAACTCTGCCCTATATGGGGAGATAACACAAACAACACAGCAGGACCAAATCATTGGACCTATTAGATTGGTGAATCCATGAGGATTGTGCAACATAAAAACTTCATTCATCCCTTCCTCCATGGTCTATAGAACATCTCTTCCAGAAGTTCCCTGATCAAGTTGATACCGGAGCCTTCCGGATTGACCCTGCATATGAAATAATGCAACATACTTTCTTTAGTCCAATTTTTTAAATTAGAACAACAAGGCTTAAGATGCTATGATTTGTATGCAACTATTTACATTCTACAATGCACACTAGAGGCCATTAACCATTGGGATACAAAAAGAACAAGAAGCAGAAATGTCATTCTCCAAATACAAGAAAGTGATGAAGGAACCTCATCACAACCAGCAATTATCATTCCAAACAGATAAAGAAACAGGATTCAAATTTAAGTCTTGAGGTTTCCTAAAAAAAACAAAGTGCCATAATTAAGACCAGCACACCATACTCGGCAGAAAAACTTTTTCAATGTATCAAAAGACAAACAGATAATAACTCCCTAATAGCATTGCATGACAATAAATGTGGGGCAAAAAAAAAAAAAGCAAAGATAAAAAAAAGTTCAGCACCTTTCAACCGTCATTTCATTCTTCATGTGAATCTACTTAATCACCAAAAAAGGAATAGTTCTATGAATTAAGAACTATATGACATCCATCAAACTAAAACACAACCATTTAAATTGGACAACAACACCATCTTCTTTTTCAGTCCTCCCTCCATGACATTGGCAACAAAATAATTAAAATACTCAGTAGAATTTTTTTTTATTTTTTCTTTATGCATCAAAACTAAAAAGGGTAACAATTCCTTGATAGCATGACAACAAAGATAAATAAATAAAAATAAAAAAATCAAAACTTTGCAATCCATTATTCCATATCTCCATGTGCATCTACTTAACCAACAAACATAAGGGTTCTCAATAAGAACAAGACCACCCACCAACCTAAATCACAACAACAACTATTGAAATTGACCATGACCATGACCAATACCCCCATCACCTTTTCTAGTTCTTCCGCTACAATAATGACAACATACAATACACAATAAACAAAACAAAAATCAAACAGAAAACTCACAAAAAGAAGAAGAAGATAAAAACAATAAACAAACAAAACCCAACCTGGGAAAGAGCATGAGCATCCTCAGAGCGAACGGCAACACATTCAGGTGGCGTTTCAAAAAGGGACAACGAGAATTGCTTAAAAGCAGCACCAACATCAAAGTAAATCAACCCAGAACTAGGAACATCGACGCTAATGCTCATCACAGGGAACCAGAGGAACAGATCCTGAGCCTCCAACCCGGTCAAAGCATCGATCTTACCGTAACTCAAAGACCCAGAAACGTTTCTGTCATAATGCAACTCGTTCTCGAACTTGGCGTTGCAAGCTTGATCTAAGTGCACCCAGAAGCGACCATCGTCGTCAACGTCGAATTCCTCCACGCCCTTTGGGAAGAGCCCCATGGGGAGGCCATGGTCGCGAAGAACCTCGTAGATGGTTGTTGCATTGGAGTTGCTTGAGGTTGCAGATGCAGAATAAGAGGTTGAAAGAAGAAGAAGAAGAAGAAACTGAATTATGATCCAAGGAAAGGAGAACATGGCTTGGTCTCTTGTCTTTTTTTTTTGTTTTTATATTTTTGAGATTTTTAAGGTTTTGGTTTTAAGGTTGTTAAAACATAGGTTGTTTGAACTTTGAAGGTGAAGAGGATCAATGGTTATGGTTTTGGAATATTGAAGAGAAGGAGAAGGCATAGCCAGAGAGAGAGAGAGAGAGAGAGGGAGAGGAGAGAGAGAGTGACAGCTTGAATCCAGAAGGGATTATTAGGAAGAGAATGATCAATTATTGGCATTTGGTGGTGACTGGTGAGGCATGTGGACCTGGGTTTGGTTTTTTAGTAATCTTATTTATTTTTGGTTATTAGTAATTTTAGTTACTCATTTATTTTTGGTTGATATATTTTATTTATATTTCTTATAAATGATAATTAGTTATTAAACATCTCAAAACAATTTTGCATACTGACAAGAGTTCGATTTATAATTGTATATATAAAAAATACTTTGTTGATAAAAGTAAAATCTATTTTGAAGATTTCTACGTCTTAAAAAAAATTAGTCTTCAACCATCTATCAAAGAATCTTGAGAAACTCAAAATAAATTAAAATATTATTTATCAATGTAGATTATATTCAACTCAAAGTCTCAAAACTATTCAGTCTTCGTGAATAAAAGATTAATTAAGAGAACTAACAGCATTGGTAATTTAAATATTATTTTACATATTAAATTTTAATTTAACACGAAACTAGTAAGTATTATGTATATTGTACAAGTATTTTTAATTTAGGTTAAAAATAAAAATAAAAATATTAAAAATTAATAAAAAAATATTTGTGGTTGATTTAGGTATAACCTCAAAATATAGATTAAAAGAGAAAAATGATTTAAGTTATAAAGAAGATATGTATAATTATTATAAAAATACTAATTTTAAATTAGAAAAAAAGTGTCAATTTTAACAAAAATATATTAATAAATTAGGTTTTTTTTTGGATTGCTCTACTGGTTTTCGGGGCTTCGTCCCGACTATGTCCAGTCCGACCCGGATAGGTTACCTAGCATTGGCAGGTGAGTCTCTCAACGAAGATTTTCTGCATACACAAGGTCTCGAACTATTAATAAATTAAGTTACTCATTTAATATATAAGAGTGAATTATATCCCATGATTGAAACCATTGTTGTGACATCCGGCCAACCCAGGTCGAGTCAGAATTCAGTGAATCGGTCATCAGATTAGTTCATGTCAAGCATTGAACTGGTCATGCATCTGATCCGATTAAATTCGGTCAAAACTCGGACAAAATTGGCCAAACCCGGTGACTCGTCGGGTCATGCATTTTTATTAAAAAAAAAAATCAAAAAATCAAAATCGTTTCATCTTGTCAAAAAAATGTAGAACTCATTTTAAATTTTTTTTGTAATTTTATTTGCTAGTATACTCTTCTACAATAATCTCAAATTTCAGCTTTCAGTACTGAAGCAATTTGCGGAACAATAAATTAAGAGAATGTGACATATCTCTTTTCAATGTAGATGAATTTAAAAAATATGAGTTCAATATCATTAGAGATATGCTTATGGGGATTATGAGTTATAATTTAAATTGACGTAGTAATAATATGCATTTTCATTTATTTGTGTTTCATGAACTTGTAAAAGTGTGATTGGATAATTTTTGAGTTTATTCAGTGAACATTGTTTAACTCATTTTAGATATGAAGAATACAATTAAATTTATATGTTCATATTTATATATGTTTTTATATATCCGAGTCAACCAATTTGACCAGTGACTCACTGGTCCGACCAATGATCTAATAATCCAGTATCCCAATCGAATCGATGCTATGTATCAAAAAAAAGAGAGAGAAGAAACTGCTCGGATAAAAGGGAAACCAAATAAATGTAACAACGTCTTGCAATTTCACTATTATTATTTTCTTTTTATAAAAGGGGAAAGAAAAATGGATGCATCTATAGCTACTCTCTTTTTCTGGGTTACAAGTTTTCTCACTTATTTTTATTCCTCTTTTCTATACTACGTGAAAATTCAAAGGAAAAATCACATTTTTTTTTTTGGTTATTTTAAGTATTTACAGTAATAGATAAACAAGGTAGATCTATTTTTTATTAGCATAAATTTTTAAAACAGTTGTATAGAGAATGATTATAACTTCAACAATTAAACATTGTTTATATGAATTATTGAAATAAATTCTTGGTTGTATTGGAAATAAGTGATATATAATACAAATTCAAACAGTGAGTTTTTTAACAGCCAAACTAGGCCGTAAATGACAGGATTAAAGTGTTTACCTTTTCTTGGGGAAAAAAAAAGTTTTCTTAATGCAAAAGGAATAAAGTTTTTGAATAATAATTACAAAAAGAAGTTTGTAGATATTTTTTTATCGCCGTCTACATAATAGACAATATAGTTGAGGTGTGACAACGATTGTAGTTTTGTCTTGTGTGGTTCAAAAACCATTATTTTGAGTAATTAATTTAGATAATCTTGTTATGCAATTATTAATGGTAACTGTTATTTTTGTTGAGCCACTTGTATTATCATGATAATTATTGACTTTGTCAAATATCAAATGGCGTATGCTTCACCTTTTGGTTTGATTGAATGTACACTAAGAGAATTTATTATTTGAGAATAGTGTTGACTCAAATTAAATATTAAATTTTGTCCAACTAATATATGATTGTTTTAATTTAACTAAGGGTTTTGTATCTATAATTTAACATGACCACAACAACTTTCCTACACATACAACATTTTGTGGGACCCACAATTTTTGAAACCAAAAAAAAAAAAAAAACTCTGGCACGCAAAACGAATCTCTATAACATAACACAATCACTTTTCCTACAACATAACTCTTATTAAACCCTTTAACTAATGGTCTTGAGTTTAAATTATGGGTATATAATTATGTTAAAAACTTCGTATGGTGAGAGCTTTAACCCGTATATGATTCTATCTAATTTGATTGGATTAGTCAATTAATCGATAAACTGATTAAAATTTAAAAAAAAAATTAAGGTTTACTTCTTTGGGTATGTGCTACTTACATTGCTTCATAGGCTGATAGAGGTATCACCATTAATGAAGAGTTGTGCATTATTAGAGGTCCCCTATGCCAAGTACGTCTTGGAAGAGAACGTTTTTTAGTAACTCTAACCCGCAAAATGTAATGGACATTAGTCTGAACATCCCAACTATGTCTTTTTCTAATAACTTTCTTTGAATTGATTATCCTTTGGTTAATATGATGTTCAAAAATCTAAACCTTTTCAAAAGTAAGCAATTCAAAATAAGACTTTGAACAAAAAAGAAATATGCAAGGAAAGAGAGAATACGAGAATGAATTTAAAGTTTTTATTTCTAATGAGACAGATTAATCATATATTTTATGTTAGCCTTTTAATAAAGAGTGAGCATAGATTATTTAGTACGACTTGCATAAAATTTATTTTATGAAAGGAATATTTTTATTTTTGTTTTGGTAAATTATGAAAGGAATATTTTATTAACATTTCTTATTCCTAACAACTTCCATTTTGTAATTATAATCCAAGATAAAAAAATAGGATAACAATAATAAAAAAATGTAAAATGTTTTAGATGGTTGACTGACTTGACTCAACTTGCAGCATATAGGATTACTAATGCAAAAAATAAATAAATTCATAGCTAGTTTGGTGGACAAGATAGGATAAGGGTAGGATATGATATGGGGCTGATAAGGGTAGGATATGATATGAGGCTGATAAGCCTATATCATGTCCTGTGTTTGATGAACACCTGATTGGCAATCTGATAAGATTATGTAGAAAGAGAAAAGAGAAAGAAAAAACAAAATATAATGCGATAAATACAAATATATTGGGTAGTGTGGGGATACATTGGGTAACGAGAGGATATATTGGGTATCCAATATTGGTACCCTATCCTATTGAATCTTAACCCAACTCTCCCCATAGGATAAGAAATCATGTATTGGATAGGATAAAATGAGACAATAGGATAAGCTAATCATATCTTATTGACCCACCAAACAAGAGATAAAAGTAGGATATAATAAGTTATCCTATCCTATCTTCTTTGTGCCTGTTTGGATCCTCTTATTTTTAAGCTAGAAGCTACTTATAAGCATAAGCTAGGCCAAACAGGTTTTGAAAAAAGCTCTTATAACGAAAAGTTTTTTTTTTATAATGAAGAAAAAAGTTGAAAATTAAAAGCTCCTCCTAGGAGTTTTTTTAAGCTCTTATTTGTTTTTCTTGAATTGTGTGTTTTTTTTTTTAAATGAAGAGTGATAAAGATAGAGAGAGAAATAATTTTCTTGAAATATGTGCTTTTAATTAATTTTTAAGCTAAATTTTTTATGTAATTTCCAAACAGCTTTTAGTTTCTTTTTTTAAGCTCTTTTTTTTTAGCTTTGGCTTATAAGTAGCTTCTAGCTTAAAAATAAGAGGATCCAAACAGGCTCTTTATCAGGTGCTCCAAACAGGCCCTTAAAGACTTGACATGGAAAGGGAAGCAGAAGAAATAAGACCAAAATTGGTATGAAAATAATGGGATAAGTTATTTTACTTATTTTTTTCATACCTACTTTATCTATCACTCTCCAACATCGTTAGATTAGTTGAGATTCTGATTTAACGATATTAGAAAATGATGAGTAAGGTAGGCATAAAACAAGGTAGGTAGAATAACCTATTGTGATAAATGAAGCTAGGGTGAAAAAAATTATATAACTATATTTAAAAAATAATGATTATAAGATTAATGTTATTTTAAAATATTTTACTCAACTAATGCAGTTATTTACCTAGTGTGTAACTAATTGTGCAATGATACATATATATGGTCACGTGGCAAACTCCCATGAGTTGCGCACCAACAACTAATTGGATTTTACCATGTGGCACCATCATGGTCGTCCATGCAGTTCTCTATGATAATGGTTATAATCTTTAATTTCTTCTTTCTTCTTTCTATCTGCCAATTCTCTAAAACATCATAATCTTTTTGTGTTCCTAACAAAATGAGTTCAAATTCACAATCAATTAGTAAGTGCTAAGGACAGTCACAATAGTGTCACTGCCAAAATTCACTTAGTTGCACATATGGTCCGTGCATAGGAATTTGTCAGATGGTAACTAAACATATATCATATGCATTATTAGTTGCACATGAAGTGTGTGTGAAATTGACTGTATTATTTGAATAAAATAATTGAGAATGATATTAATTCAATAATTTCTTTTTAAGAATGCAATTACATAATTTTTTTCCTGAAGCTAGAGTGTACTCCTCAGGAGATATAAAGAAGCGGAGAAAGAGAGGAAAGAGAAGAATAAATTAAGACGGAGAGATTGGATCAATTTTCTTTGTATCTATTCCATTCCACTAATGAAATATATATAACCAACCTAAGTTAGTTACACTTAAGGCAAAGGACCACAAGAGGAAGCAAAACTACACAACTGGAACATAAGGAAAATTACAAAAAAAAAACTAAGTTTTTTAAAGCAGAATTAACAATTGAAATGTAAAAAAAAAAAAGATAAGAAAATTAAAGAACCATTGGTTATTGGCAAAACCATAACTATTGTTATATCTGTAGATACAATGTATGTTTTAATGATAACAAAGAGACAATAACAAAAGAAAACAAACTTGACCAAGAGCAAAAAAACATTAACCATGTGTGGGGATTGAAGATGCATGTTGGAGCCACACAAGAAGATTAATGACATCAAAGTTGTAACAACATGGATGAGCTTTGAGAATAGGAAGGCGTCAAGAGTAATTCAATCAAGTTCAGCAAGGAAGAATAGAAAAACTAAGGTCAGAGGAAACAAACCATAGATAACATCTAAGAGAATATTAAATATCACAACCATGGTGAAAAAGGAGCAAAACCAACAAATTGTCAAGCATTGTCATATCCAACAAGTCAAAGCATCAAGTTAAAGTAAAGATCCAAGACACAAGACATGAAGCTAAGTATAAAATCATATTTAAAATATATCTTTAGGACTTAGACTTATATGTAAGGACATTGCATGAGCTCAAATTTTTTCTCAAAGTAAACATGTTTTTCAAATTGCATAGTCCATAAACTTTAAATAGTTTAAAGAAATTTCAAAAACTCATAGAAAAGATCCTTGACATGTTTATAACTTCAAAACATATTTACCAAGTCAAGATCTTTCGTAAAAAGTGTTGAAAAACAAGCTAGAACACATTTGAACTTAAAATTTGCTGCACAATTTGGTTTCTGTCTTCCAGACAATTTTCGTATCAAATATGACAGATTTGAATCTTGTGTTATTCATAAAAGTTGTAGATATCTCTTTTATCTTTCCAAAGAGACCAAGTTCACATAAATCCGATAAGTATAGCTCATGTTATGCCCAAAATACGAAATAGTATTCTTATTGTCATGTTGGAAATCGATTACCAGCATATGGTAATCGATTACCCACCCTTTGGTAATCGATTAACACTGCGAAAGAATGCCTAAAACGACTATAAATGAGTAGTTTTTTATTTTAAAAAAATCATTGTATATACATTCTCAACGACTTTAGAACCAATTCGGCATCATTCCTACACATCTTAAGCATACTTTGAGAGCCTCTACACTATCATTTGCATATTTTTTTCATATTTTTCAAAGATCAAACATATTTGAGCTCATATTATAAAAATTCATATACTCATAGTGCTTCAAGTTGTATATCCATACTTTGAGAGTGTATATTTATTTAAAAACACTTCCTCATTTGCATCCTTCAAGTTGTGAGACCCGTTGTATTTGAGAGGTACCCAAATACCTAAGTAAATTTGGAGTGAAAGTCAAGAGCCCGAAGTCTTGGAAGGTTATAGTGGATTGTCAAGCACTCGTGAAACTTGACGAATAGTTAAAGAATTGATCGATCGACTTTAGTTTGAACATAGGTCGCAAGTGATAGTGACCAAACTAGGATATATTGAGTTTGCATTTTTCTAAACCCCCACTCTTTATTTCTAGCATTTTAATTGCTTCTTTGATATCTTGTATGTGCTAGCATAGACTTTTATAATTGTGATATATTATATGTTATGGATTGTTTGAATGTATTGATTAGTTTTTCATATATTAAAGTTGAGGAGCGTTATTCTTACAACTTAAACGTTTTACAACTTCTTACAACCTATTTTTTTATTATTGATTTTTGTCAATCCAACGGTTATAATTTATTGAAAATTATAATTAATTAATAAATGTAACTCAATAATCATAACCATTGGATTAACGGAAATCAACGGTGAAAAAATAGGTTGTAAAACTTTTAGGTTGTAAGAATAACCCTTCTTATTAAAGTTTCCTTGAAATGATTTTTTTTTATCAGAGTTGTGTATAACATTTGTGAGTGTTTTTTTTTAAATGGAAACTCAAGAGACAGTCTTTTCATCTTCCCACCATCACCAAACAACATATGTTTTATCTCACTGTTCCATTTTTTCCAAGCAAGTGGGCGATGTACGTGTAAGCTCATTGTTTGTTTCTGAATCTACACACACACACACACACACACACACACACACACACACACACACACACACACATATCTATATATATATTTGATGCTGTTAAGCTGAGTCATTTCTGGCAATCTATTTCGCTGCTGTCATGAGTAAATATCAATCAGATCTCGAAACTTTCCCATGTAAGAGAAGAAGCACAAACCGTTTTAAAAAGATATTCGGTAATTCTTCAACCTCGTGTTGTGATGTGTTCTCTTCGTTTACTGGTACGTACCTAGCGTATCCTTCAATCTGTTGACGATAAATATGTTTATTTTCTGTTTCAGAAGTTTCTTTGTTGTTATTTTTTTATTTGGTTAAGATGAAAATGAGTGCTTCAAACTTTGAATTCTTATTTATGTGTGTTGTTTTGTAGAAAATCTTTATACGTTCTCTGCCACCCAAGTCAGCTGGTATATTCTATAACCTTCCAGTGACTTCATTTGTTATTGAGTTATAACGGTTGATTAAAGCTCCTTTTTAGTGCCTGCTATTGTTTTTTTTTTAATGTTGATTGGTACAAAATGCAGCTTTTCTGATGTGGTCAACGTACGAAATGAGTTGAGCTGCAACCGACAACCGCTACACGATATTACTAATGGTGACTGTACGTTCACTGATACTGGAAACGTCATGTCTGTGTTTGTGTCTTTTCTATTACGTTCATTGTACATTGCATATGTGAAACGTTTGTGAATAAAAGTGAGATATGACAAGAGCTGAGGATAACATTTTGTAAATAAACTTATGTTGCAAAAAGTTTCTTTGTTGTTGTTTTTTTTTTCCTCTTTTTACTCTCAAGTCGGTAATTCATCTCTTGAGGCTGAGAATTGTAAAGATGCCTTTGCAATTTACCGTTGGGCTGGATATCCTCATCTGTTTATACCGTTGGACTTGACATTGATAATTTGATTTCAGCTGAGATTCCTAACAAACATTCCAATCCTTCACTTTCTGCAGCTGTCACGAGTTACATGATGCATGGACCCTGTGGTCCTGATAATTACAAGTCTCCTTGCATGAAGAACGGACCTTGTTCAAAGAAATTTTCCTAGAAGTTCTGCTCCCGTACTTTTATAATGGATTCCCTCATTATAAAAGAAGAAATGATGGGAGTGTTGTCAAAAAGAACGACATTGAACTTGATAACCGTTATGTTGTGTCGTATAATGCAAAACTTCTTCTAAAATATCAAGCGCATATCAATGTTGAATATACCTGTCAGAGTAGTGTCATTAAATATCTTTTTAAATACATTTATAAAGGGCAAGACAGGGTGACAGCTGCTATAAATCATTCAGATGATGAAATCAAAATGTTTTATGATTGCAGGTTGTTGAATTTATATCGGTTATGTTTTCCTTTCGTTGCTTGGAATAACGTTTTTCTAACTTATTTTGTATTTATTGCTTACATATCATAGGTATGTGTTCGCATGTGAAGCTGCTTGGAGATTATTCGGATTTGAAATTCATAATAGATTCCTCCCTATTCAGCGATTGCCATTTCACCCGCCCAATGAAAAGAGCGTTGTTTTTAGTGATCATGCTTCAATAACTGATGTCAAGACTAGGGCGGAGTCTAGACAATCAATTTTTGAGTCTTGGATGGATGCAAATAAAAAATATCCAGAAGGTAGGCATCTTACTTATGCAGAGTATCCAACTCAATTTGTTTATAAAGAAAATATGCATGAATGGCATCCCAGAAAACAAAGATTTTCAATTAGAAGAATAAATCGTTTTTCTGCCAATAATGGAGAAGATTCCTATCTCCGAACTTTACTTATTTTTCAAAAGGGTTGTACAAGTTACGAAGATTTGAGAACTGTCAATGGGGTGATTTTTCCTTCATTTAAGGATGCCTGCTATTCTCTGGGACTTTTGGATGATGACAATGAGTACATTGATGCAATTAAGGAGGCAAGTTCTTGGGGGTCAGCAACTTATCTGATAAATCTGTTTGCTTTATTGTTATTTGGTAACTCAATGAACAAGCCTGAAAATGTTTTCCGAAAATGCTGGGAATTACTATCTGATGATGTTCTTTATCGGCATAGGCAAAGAATTGGACGTGAAGGTAATTGTCCTGAACAAATATTGTGCATTCATTTATGTGTTTTCTGCATTATAATTAAATTCTTTTCAATCTGTATCGTGCATTCATTTATGCAAACAGTTTGTCTATGTTTAATTCTTTTGACCTTGGAAAAAATATGAGCTGTTTTTGTTCCTTCGTAAAAAAAATTACATCTATATATCATACATGTTCCTATTCTTAATATTTGGTTAAATTTTTTCGTTAAGTTCCACACACTCTGCTTTGTTCATAATTTCGCTTTATTTTTCTCTCCTCACCAACTTTGTCTTTGTTAATATTTTTTTTTTGTATTTTTCAAATTTTTTCAGATGCATTTCTTACGGAGGATTCTATAAAAAACATAACCCTTGCAGAAATTGATAAGGTGTTACAAAGCAACGGTAAATGCCTCTCTGATTACCCATCCATGCCGAGTATCATCGGTGAATCTTTATTGGATATGCAGAATAGACTGGTGATGGATGAATTGTTGTATGACAGTTTCTCTTTGAAAGAAGAGCATGACAGACTACTGAATTCACTCATTGATGAGCAGAGGGTTGTTTATGACAAAATAATTTCAGCTGTTTCAGCAGGTAAAGGAGGGTTTTTCTTCCTGTACAACTTTGGTGGTACTGGAAAAATATTTATTTGGAACACCCTGTCAGCATTTCTTCGATCAAGAGCTGGAATAGTGTTTAATGTTGCTTCTAGCGGAATTGCTTCACTTCTACTTCCGGGAGGACGTACGACACATTTTAGATTTTGTATTCCTATTCAGATCACCGAAGATTCAACATGTAATATAAAACAAAATTCTACTTTGGCAGAGTTGTTGTCTAAAACAAAGTTAATCATTTCGGATGAAGCCCCGATGGTACACAGATTTTGCTTTGAGGCCCTTGATAGAACACTTAAAGATGTTCTTAGATTTTATGATACCAGCTGTGTTGATATGCCCTTTGCTGGAAAAGTGGTCACTCTAGGAGGTGACTTTCGACAAATATTACCTGTCATTCCACATGGCAGTAGACAAGAGATCGTTCATGCAACAATCAATTCTTCGTATCTACGGTCATATTGTCATTTGTTATCTTTGACCAAGAATATGTGTCTCAATTTTGGAAGTAGCACTAATAATTTGTTGGAAATAAAAGAATTTTCTGAGTGGCTGCTTAAAATAGGAGATGTTGATCTTGGAGATGACGTTGATGGAGAATCTATTATAACAATTCCAGATGAATTGTTGATCAAAGGTTCAGAAGACCTACTTTCAGATATTATTGATTTTGTCTACCCGAATCTGATGGATAATATATTAGATCCGACTTTCTTTAAAGAACGCGCTCTTCTAACTCCTAAATTGTCTGATGTTGCCATGTTAAACGAGCACCTAATGGCTGTGATTCCGGGTGAAGAAAGGACATTTTTAAGTTCAGATAAGGTTTTGAAACAAGACGGTAATTCATCTCTTGAGGATGACGAAATCTCCCTGAGATCTTAAATACATTCTCATGTTCGGGGATTCCTGATCATAAATTAACTTTGAAGGTGAAAGTACCGGTTATGCTATTGAGAAATATTGATCAATCAAGAGGTTTGTGCAACGGTACGAGATTACTTATTACAAAGTTGGGGAATCATGTTGTTGAGGCAATCATTCTTACAGGAAACAATATAGGAGATACTGTGTTAATCCCTAGAATGACGATAAGCCCATCGAGTCATACATTTCCAGTAAACTTCCAAAGAAGACAATTCCCCTTGGTAGTTTCGTTTGCGATGACTATCAACAAAAGTCAACGACAATCACTGTCTCATGTTGGAATTTTTCTTCCTAGGTCTGTCTTCACTCATGGACAGTTATATGTGGCACTATCTAGAGTAAAGAAGATGCTGATACTCGATGAAGCTGGATGTGTTACAAATACTACTTTTAACATCGTCTATAAGGAAGTATTTCAAAGATTACTATAGTATACTTGGTTATTTCTACAAAGAGATAACATTGCTGTTTGTTATCAGGTAAAAACTCAATTTCTTATAAGAAAATATTTTTAATCTTCTTTGTTGCATTGTTTTAGTTGTTATGCCTATTTTTCAGCTAATTTTTTTTATTGTTATGCATTTTAATTCTGAATTATTCATCTGCTATGAACTATATAATTACCTTCAATAATTTTTTCTTTTCAAATTATTCTTTATATATTGTTTATGATTCATTTCTAACAGGAGCAAATACAAATAGTGCATGGCGGAATAGATTTTACAACTGTTTGGTATCGCTTGGCGATATTTCTTATTATATTGCTGTCAACATGACATTTACATTTTTTTGATGGAGATTTTGCTGTCAACTTTGGAATTTACTGTATTTAAATTATTATATTCCTTTTTTGTTTTTACCTTAAAAATTACACATTTATGTCATACGAACAAATTGATTTTTTTTTATCAATTCATTTACGGGACAAATAAACCGATTTCTTTTTTCTCCGTGCATCGCACGTGTAATCAACTAGTTATTACTAGGAGAAACATTTGACATGAGAATTTAGTTTGGATTTCTCCGTCGGTCGCTTGGTAAAGGGATAATCTTTAGATTTCCGAAAAATTAACATTGAGAATTCTATTTATTCGTTTGATACAAGAATAGTGAATTTTTTTTTGAAAAAAAAATCAAATTCTCAGGATTTTAAATTATGAAGCATAATCATATTTCAAAATACCATTGAATGAGTGGTATTTTTGAATTTCCATCACGTGGAAATTTTTTTCAAAATTTTATGGACAAAAATACTCTGTGAATTTCTTCAGCTCGTTGCTCTCCACGAGACAGAAGAAAAAAACATGAGACAAATCACAACTACAGAATTAAACGAATTCTACATCATAGCTTAGCATATGAGTGCAAAGCAAGCAAAAACAGAATCAAACAGATGGAACGGTGCCAGAAATCATCAAAGAATCCCGAACAAAAAAATAAGCAAAAAAGAAAGAATCAAAGTGGAAAGTGGAGGGTGAAAAAGCAAGGAGAGCAACAATGTTGAAGAGTAACAAGTTAAAGCGAAGTAAGGAGAGTAGGGAATTGGGAGAATGGCAAAAAATGTTGAAAGAGAAAGAAATAAAGAGAAGAGCGATTAGAAAGAGAGGTTTGTACTTGAAGTGGCGATAGTAACGGTGGTGAGGATGCATAGAATCATGGATAACTTAGTTTTGTAAAATTACTCCACATTTCTAATAATATTTAACAATCATCCAAATATAAAATCAAGATATTTGAATCAATATTTCTAATAATATTTTGATCAAGCAAATATATTTTTGGCGATATTTTTGAAAAATTCACCTTCATAATATATTCCTGCGAATTATAATTTTCAGGAATAAAAAATTTTCTGTTTTGCCAAACGTCCTTTCATATTAATAGTTGGGGAAGTTCTTGTATATTGTCATGGGTGACAGCTATTAATCTCTAAAAAAAAAACACAAAAACTCTGAGTTTCATAAATTATAAAACATGATATGCATAATTATACATGCCGTTCTGTACTAAAACAAATAAATAAATTACAGGCCGTTAGAATGATTTAAAAAATATGACTAATAAACCAAAAATCAAATTTCTCGGATACAGGCCGTTATTGGGTTGGATAACTAGCATTGAGGCCCAGACCTTTTTTGTTGCAAGCCCATCATGGGCCCAAGAGTAAAATCCTGGGCTCTGGGTTGCTATATAAAAGTTGCGTAATGTGTTAAAACCCTACTTGCTTCTCACCGTGCGCATGTTCTGAGTCTTCTGATCGCTCTCAGAGAGAGTTTGTCGCGGCGGTTGCAGAAGAACACTGCAAGATGAAGGTTCGTTTCTTTCGTAACCCTAGTTCTTTTTGCTTCTTTGTGATTTCTCATTTTTGTCTTGTGTTCGTTGCTGAACTTTTCAATCTTCTGCATTTGACTTCTTGCTTTTTGTGTGTTCGTTGCTGAATTTTGTTATGTGCAATTTTTTTCTGCTGCAGTTCAACATTGCGAATCCCACAACTGGATGCCAGAAGAAGCTCGAGATCGACGACGATCTGAAACTGTAATCTCTTCACTTCTTTTTTTAAAAAAATGTATTCCGGTTTTCACTGCTTTATGATCGGTATTTTTTATTCTGTGATGCTTTGTGCTTAGAAAGAGAAGTGATTCATTGAACTTGTGAAGTTCTGAAATGAAGATTTACATTAAACGTACTGCATTCATTTACTCTTTTTGCTTTTCCCCTTTTTTGTTTCACTTAATGTGCACCAAGAGTTTTATATGAAATTGTTTATTATATATATGTAGAATGTCATACAATTTATCATAATATATTGTATCATTTAGTATATAACAGTCAGTGTAAACAAACTATTTTTATTTCAATCTACTCTCATTCCTATCCTAAATTTGACCTTCACCTTTTCCCTCTATTCATTTGTACACAACCTAAGTGAAGCGATGCCCATACCTACAATGTATATAAACAAAAAGAATATAAGAAATCATGATATTCAAATTTTAATCACTGGGGGGAAAATTATTTTGTTGTTTTTATTTATGTATATCTCAGATTTCAAAACTTTTGGGGGAGCCACCTTTCCCACTACTATTTTAGACAACATACTCTAACTTTTGATTTACTTAATATTCATGGAAATTTGATATTTTGCTCCGAAACAGAGCTTTTTATATGTTAGTTTTTTTGGGTAATGTGACTTGTGTTCCTATTATAATATTCTTAATTTTAAATTGCAGACGAGCTTTTTGGGACAAGAGGATCTCACAGGAGGTTAGTGGAGATGCACTTGGTGAGGTATGTTCTTAGCTCAAAACCTTTTATGTCTGCTCCAAATTCGTGAAGAACTTATGATTATCTATTCATCATCGTAATTCGTCTGCCAACAGGAATTCAAGGGCTATGTCTTCAAAATCACTGGAGGTTGTGACAAACAAGGCTTCCCAATGAAGCAGGGAGTGCTGACCCCTGGTCGTGTTCGTCTCTTGCTTTACAGGGGTAGGTCTTTTATGTATCCTCAATGTGTTTTGTTTCGCATTCAGAGGTGCCCTGATTATATTATTAAAACAATTCTACCTTTGAGTCCTGCTGCCTCTTTGTTTAAAAACTTTTCCTTTTTTAATAATAAATATGTCTTGTTCTCGGAGTTACTTCACATGTTCTTAATAGACATGTTAATCTTCTTTTCATTGGTTACTTGAACAGGAACACCTTGTTTCCGTGGACATGGAAGGCGCAATGGAGAGCGCAGGAGGAAGTCTGTTCGTGGGTGCATTGTCAGCCCAGACCTATCTGTTCTGAACTTGGTAATTGTGAAGAAGGGGGACAATGATTTACCAGGCCTGACTGACATTGAGAAGCCAAGGATGAGAGGTCCAAAGAGGGCATCCAAAATCCGCAAGCTGTTCAACCTGTCTAAGGAGGATGATGTGAGAAAGTATGTCAACACATACCGTCGGACATTTACATCAAAAACTGGTAAGATCTCTAGTGCTTGTAAATTTTCTGTTTAGTTTTGTCATCTCTGGTGCTTGCAAATTCTGTTTAGTTTTGTCAAAAGAAGTGTAAGGTTGAGAAAAAGGATTAGGGTAATGAGAAAACAATATTATTTTTAATCCTTTTATAACTTTAACCTTTGATAACTCAACTACCTCTTATAACTTTTTATTATCTATTTCAAATCCCTGATGGTGGGTAACGAGAAAAAGGATTAGGGTAATGAGAAAACAAGATTATGTTTAATCCTTTTATAACTTGTACCCTGTTGTCAACTCAACCACCTTTTATAAGTTTGTATTTATCTATTTCAAATCTGTGATGGTGCCTGGTGAGAATGTTCAAAGAGCTGTTTTGTTTGTTAACAGCACATATGTATTATTAGCGTTTTTGGTTAATTCATGAATAATATGGTTGATGTGCAACATTATTCCAATAAGTTTGTGTATTAAAATCTCTAACTACAAAATAAGTTTGTTGCCTGACTTCATTCTTCACATTAGAAAGACCCCTTTCTTATTGATTTTATTGAAATTTTAGCTTTTGATGAACCAAATGGTGTTGTTTGGTTCGTCCAGCTAACTCCATGATTGGGATGAATATAAAAATACCCGCTCCCATCCCCCCACCACAACACCCCTGGTTGAGTTTTGAACCTTAATTTTAAGGAGATACCAAGCTGATGCATGCTTGTTATGAAACAATGTCCTGTACCATACTCATTCAAATTTGAAACCCAAGTCTAGTGTATTTATGATATAGTTTGGATGGAAAACTGAAGAACTCGTGGAATTTAAGAGAGCCATAATTTGGTTATGGTTCCTTTTGGACATTGGATAACATTGGACGGATATAGGCATACCTTGTGATGAATTATAGTCTGAATCGTAATGGACCTTTTGTTGCAGGGAAAAAGGTGAGCAAAGCTCCAAAGATACAACGGCTGGTAACTCCTCTTACACTCCAAAGAAAGAGGGCAAGGATTTCCGATAAGAAGAAGAGAATTGCTAAGGCTAAATCAGAGGCAGCAGAGTACCAAAAGCTTCTTGCCTCCAGGTTGAAGGAGCAGAGGGAGCGCCGCAGTGAGAGTTTGGCAAAGAGGAGATCCAAGATTTCTAGTGCTTCCAAGGCAGCTGTCCCTGTATAGGCTGCTTTTAGATACAGAGATATGATGAAATTCAATCACCACCGTAGGTTTTGGTATTGCTATTCTATGATGGCTGTATTATCACAAACACTTCCGGTTTTGCTAATTTAAATACATTTGAGTTATTGAAGTACTTCTTATGTCACGTTACTTATTGAATTATTTTTTAACAAGTTGGAATACCTATCCATTTCAAGCGTTTTCCCCTGCAGTTATTGTGTGACCTGCATATCATTTATTTCCCATTTTATGCATGCCGAGGTTAATTGCTTCTTGTGACCCTGATAAGGAGCTGCGCGTCTTATCTCTTGAAAGTTTTTGTGGAGTGCGCTATGTGTCTTATATGTCAAGTCCTTTTCTCTTTCCACTTCTGACAAAATGCAGAAGTTATTGTTTTTAACCTTTTTGAGGGTTTTCATCATAATATTTAACCTAACAGGGTTAGAAAACTTCATTTCAACCATTTATTAGATGTGCAAATTTCCCCTTCATGTATGTATACCATGTAATTGTTGGATTTATTGATCCGGATGGATGTAGGCTAGATTTTGCAGTATTAACGTTCCGGTCAACGTGAGTTCCTTACAGAGAATCGTCTACCTTGGTGCAACCATTCATATGTTTATGACCTTTTGTGCATAGGGAAATCCATTATAATGTTGTTTCTGGGTAGACTTTTCATGACTTGGAAATTCCACGTTGCAATTAAAGAGGCTATGAAATATGGGACTTTTATTCTTTAATCCAAATGCAGAGAGGAGTAAACTTTTTATTCTCTCACACCCTTATGCAACAGTGAGTTTGTGTACTTGACAATTATCGTATAGTTAACATATCATAATAGAAGTTTGGTTAGAGAAATAAAATGAATGTGTAACTGACCCGAAATTTATTTTTAAAATAAAAGAAAATGAAGTTGCCATCAATTTTTTTTAATTTAAAAAAAATTGAAAAAGTTTTTATTTTAGCAAACCTGGTCTTTGAATTAAGGTTTAAGAGTTTGATTATGCACATGAAACTTAATCCCATTGCATCTGTAATACATCTGCTTAAAAAATGGTTACCTTAAATTAGTTGTACAAATTTTTAATAATTTTAAAATATCTGCTTAGCCCAAAATAAAAGAAGATGAAATAATAAGAATATTTACAAGAAAAGAAAACAAAATTATAAGTTTTATTTTGAGCTTGCGGGAGAAATTTCTCTCCGACGTATTGGTGCGATGAGGAAATCTAAGCTATGTCGTTTTATAGAAAATATTTCTTTGTTGGTTGATTTTAATTTTTGAAAATAATTTTGAGGATGATAAATTCTTACTAAGCTTACTAGTAGGGGTGAAATTGAGCTGGGCTGGGCCAAGCTTTGTCTCGAAAAGTCGAACCCTATGCCTAAAAATTTCAATTTGGCCTGACTCAAGCCTAGTACGAGTATAACTGTTAGCCTGACTTGGCCCGTTTATAAAAAAACAAATGGCCTGGCCTAGCTCGTTGAACTGTTAATTTTTAACTTCCAAGTAGAACCATGAATCAACTTCACAAAATACTCAAATTCTATTGCTAAACGAAAAATCACAATTTCAACGTTCAAACAGAATCATGACTCACAACAAAACTCATCACAATCTGCATTTAAATCACTTTCAAAAGCAAAATACTCAAACTAAATAATATATACTTCATGAGATCCAACAAACAAATCTATACTATGTAAATTAAAATAACTACATGAATCCAACAAACACATCATGATGCTTATAGTAAGTATAATCTCTCCCCAAAACTTTTTAATATATTCATATACATAATCTAACATGCTGAGATGTTGGTTCCTCCTACATAAGAAATAAAGTCAGGTTTGTATTAAAATATAATCGAATATAATTAAATTATAAATAATTGCAATTGATTAAATTTATATCTTTTATTTTTTGTTTAAGGCATACTTGTTCTATTTTATTTTATTTAAAATAAATAGTACAATATAGGCCGGCCTGTAGGCATAGAGGCCAGACCTTGTGAAAGTGGGCCTACGGTTTATTTATTAAACAAGTTTTTTCAAGGCCCAAGTCCGGTCTATTTTACGAAATATACTAGGTCAGATCTGGCCTGACGTAGGCCGAGCCGTAGGCTCTTGTAGGCCGGCCCGACCCAGTTTCACCCCTACTTACAACGCTTGAGGATGATAAATCATACAATCAACATTTTAAATCGCTGCTAGGATTTTGAAAATACTTTTTATTATATAGATAATTTTAATTTTTTGAAATCATGGGAGAAATATTTTGATTTTAAAAATATTTTTTATTAGAAAATATTTTAAAAAAAAAAAGAATCCACATTGCACATGATACAAGATAACATAGCTACACATGTACCCTTACTAAATGCGCAACACTTGAGGATGACAAGTTATACAATCAACGTTGCGAATCATTGCACAGATTGAAAATAAGATAACAAAGATACATTTAAATTTAGAAAATTTTGGGAAAAGGAATTTACGTTGCAGATAATCTTAGATAACATAGTTATATGAGAATTCTTATGAAGCACATAACACTTGAGGATGGCGAATCATATAATTAACGTTACAGATCGTTGCACAGTTTGAAAACAAGAAAATAGAGATATATTTTAATTTTGAATTTTTTTGGAAAATAAATCCACATTGCTTAGAATTCAAGATAGTACGGCTATACGAGAACTCTTACGAAACACATAACACTTGAGGATGGTCAGCCATACAATCAACGTTATGGATCATAGATTAATTTTCCAAAACAAAACTAAGTACATAGTAAAAGACAAAATATTTTTTTTAATAAAATGACAACTAGTAACTAACAATTAAGACAAAAAAGAATACATAAACAAGAAATAACAACATCTAATTTAAAATACTAACATAAGACAATTCATAATAAAACATTTTATAGAAATCTAAGCTATGGGGAAATCTAAGCTACGTCGTTTTATAGAAAATATTTCTTTGTTGGTTGATTTTAATTTTTGAAAATAATTTTGAGGATGATAAATTCTTACTAAGCTTACTAGTAGGGGTGAAATTGAGCTGGGCTAGGCCAAACTTTGTCTCGAAAAGCCGAAGCCTATGCCAAAAAATTTCAATTTGGCCTGACCCAAGCCTAGTACGAGTATAACTGTTAGCCTGACTTGTCCCGTTTATAAAAAAACAAATGGCCTGGCCTAGCTCGTTGACCTGTTAATTTTTAACTTCCAAGTAGAACCATGAATCAACTTCACAAAATACTCAAATTCTATTGCTAAACGAAAAATCACAATTTCAACGTTCAAACAGAATCATGACTCACAACAAAACTCATCACAATCTGCATTTAAATCACTTTCAAAAGCAAAATACTCAAACTAAATAATATATACTTCATGAGATCCAACAAACAAATCTATACTATGTAAATTAAAATAACTACATGAATCCAACAAACACATCATGATGCTTATAGTAAGTATAATCTCTCCCCAAAACCTTTTAATATATTCATATACATAATCTAACATGCTGAGATGTTGGTTCCTCCTACATAAGAAATAAAGTCAGGTTTGTATTAAAATATAATCGAATATAATTAAATTATAAATAATTGCAATTGATTAAATTTATATCTTTTATTTTTTCTTCAAGGAATACTTGTTCTATTTTATTTTATTTAAAATAAATAGTACAATATAGGCCGGCCTGTAGGCATAGAGGCCAGACCTTGTGAAAGTGGGCCTACAGTTTATTTATTAAACAAGTTTTTTCAAGGCCCAAGTCCGGTCTATTTTACGAAATATACTAGGTCAGATCTGGCCTGACGTAGGCCGAGCCGTAGGCTCTTGTAGGCCGGCCCGACCCGGTTTCACCCCTACTTACAACGCTTGAGGATGATAAATCATACAATCAACATTTTAAATCGCTGCTAGGATTTTGAAAATACTTTTTATTATATAGATAATTTTAATTTTTTGAAATCATGGGAGAAATATTTTGATTTTGAAAATATTTTTTATTAGAAAATATTTTTTTTTAAAAAAAGAATCCGCATTGCACATGATACAAGATAACAGAGCTACACATGTACCCTTACTAAATGCGCAACACTTGAGGATGACAAGTTATACAATCAACGTTGCGAATCATTGCACAGATTGAAAATAAGATAACAAAGATACATTTAAATTTAGAAAATTTTGGGAAAAGGAATTTACGTTGCACATAATCTTAGATAACATAGTTATATGAGAATTCTTATGAAGCACATAACACTTGAGGATGGCGAATCATATAATTAACGTTACAGATCGTTGCACAGTTTGAAAACAAGAAAATAGAGATATATTTTAATTTTGAAAATTTTTGGAAAATAAATCCACATTGCTTAGAATTCAAGATAGTACGGCTATACGAGAACTCTTACGAAACACATAACACTTTAGGATGGTCAGCCATACAATCAACGTTATGGATCATGGATTAATTTTCCAAAAAAAAACTAAGTACATAGTAAAAGACAAAATATTTTTTTTAATAAAATGACAACTAGTAACTAACAATTAAGACAAAAAAGAATACATAAACAAGAAATAACAACATCTAATTTAAAATACTAACATAAGACAATTCATAATAAAACAAATAAAGAATGTAAAAGTGCGTAAAAAATAATATCTCACAATAGAGGACCAAGAGTAGGGGGGAAGGACCAAGAATTCCCTAATGTGGGACTTTGAAGATTGACTTTTTCAATGTTGGATAGTCATCTTTCGACATTAATATCTCACACTAGAGGACTCATCTCAAACATCTAAGCGGTAAAATTGAAGTATCATAAGAGAGGAACATGTAATTCAACTGTTCAATTGAGAGAGATAACCCACACAAAATCGCTGCCCGAAATAGTATCTATTCTCACAAACCAACTAGCCATCTTCCAAAATTTATATCTAACACTAAGGTTCTAAGCTCGAAAATCGGTCTGGTCAGATTTAAGTATCATATGAGAGGAATATGTCGATCGAATTTGAGGACGATCCAATGGTTCAATTGAGAGAAATTGCCCTCACATAATCACTGCTTCCTGCAGAATCTTCTAGGAGAACTGTTACGGTTTTAAATTTTTTGGGAATGCTAGAAATGTAATCAACAATTCCACTGTCAGATATAAAGAACAATGAGTCTAG